GGGGCCTAAATGATTACCTGTATTATTTTTTGGGTTTCCTTCCTGCAATTATAGTATAATGGGTCCCAAAACCCTATTCTAATTATTAAGGCCCCTACATTACTGCTTACAGCGAAGTCTGGAAGGTGATCGACCAGCTCCTGGACGAAAGGTGGGTATTCCGGTTTAGGGTTTTGGTAGACCGGTTTCATGCTTCGTTCATTTGGAGGGTTTCGTTGTACAGGGTTCATTCTTTTTTTTGCAGCGTGTTGTACGATGTTGTCTAAGTTGCCATAAGCTTTGTAAGTAGGGGTTTGGGGCTTTGGACTTTAAGGACAGAGTCTCGCGTAAGCCTGAATGCTTAGGATCTCTTGAGGGCATCAGCCCAGGCCCTTAGACCCTGAACCCTGCAATTTAACGAACAGGCACGGTTTAGGGTTTAGGGTTTAGGGTTTAGGGTTTAGGGTTTAGGGTTTAGGGCATCAGAAACTTTCCAAATCCCAATCGCCTTGAACACGATTTAAAGCACACCACTAGACCCTAAGCCCTAAGCCCTAGAAGCGCCCATCGCGCCAGCAACGCCGGCCGTGTCTGGATCACCAACTGGCCCGGCCGCTTCCAAGCGAAGCCGTGGAGCCTGGTGGGTTCTTTTGGAGGGGTTTGGGGGTTCCTACTATGGAGATTTTTTCATAAGGGAACTATTGAGGGTTCCTTTAAGGGGTTCTATAAGGGTACTGTAAGGGTTTAGGGGTTTAGGTGTTCAATACAGTAGCCTGATATTAAGAAGCCTTCGATCTTTGTTGGTGTTCTTTGTGTGGATCCTAAGATTTGGGGCTATGGGACCACGCTTTCTTAATCTGGTTCCTACATTATCGCGCTTTCGGGCTTTGATAGTTGTTTTTTGGGGGGGGTCGGATTTGGGGTCGGAGGGTCCAAGGTGCACGGCTTTTGGGTTTGCGGCTCTCCTTTGTCTCACTAGACCAAGAGGGTTTAGGGGAGGGTGTGAGGGACTGGTGTCACTGGTGTCCTGGGATTTGTGGTATAGATGGTAGAGGCAGCGGACTGCAAGGTGTGGTTCCTGGATTTCGGTTTTATGGTTTGAGGGTCAAACTTTCGACCCGCGCGGAAAGGGCCGCATCTCCAAAGGATCGGCTGGACTGCCCCCACACCGCAAACCCCAAAGCCTGGACCCTGAAGTCTTCGAAGCATTCCCTGTATTTCAACACATGGTATCTGAACTCAGCGCATTAAACAAGTGGCAGCTGCAAGTGCCGAAAAACCTGAGTTCATACCGTTATGTCGCTTTGTTGGAGCACAGAGTCTTCTGGTAACCGAAAGGATGCAAAGATTGTTACGCCCACACACCCCCGAGCCCCATGTACACCCTGCCGACGAGATGTTTGGTGACTCTGGAGGTCTTTTTCAGCCCTTCATCCTCCAGCCACCCTGAACCCTAAACATTGAAACCACTAAACCCCTAAACCCCTAAATCCTACATCCAAACCCTGACACCCTGAACCCCTTAACCCCAAACCATAAATCCTCAAACCTTAAGCCTAGACTCCAATCCTAACCCTGACACCCTGAGCCCCTTAACCCTAAGTCCACAAATCCTCAAACCTTAAACCCTAAACCCTAAACCCTAAACCCTAAACCCTAAACCCTAAACCCTAAACCCTTAAACCTACACTCCAGTCCTAACCTTTCTTCTGGGTTGCTCCTGCTGGCCGGCCATCTTCGCGCTCGAGACCGGAAGACCTACATAAGGACTTGAGAGCCTTTAGTTTAGGGTTTAGGGTTTAGGGTTTCGGGTTTAGCGTTTAGGGTTTAGGGTTTCGGGTCTAGGGTTTAGGGTGTCGGGGTTGGGGCTGAGGGTTTAGGGCTTAGGGTCTTCAATGACCATCAGTCTCTATGAAGGGCTTAGGGTCTTAAATGACAAGGAGTCTTTATAAAGAAGACAGCCTGCCACGAGCTTGTTTATTCTCAGAAAGCTGGAACGAGTCGTAAAATCCCTAAGCCTTAAACCCAAGAGACTACTTCACCTGTCTCGGACGGTAGAGGCGAGTGGAGAAAGGTGCTTCAGGAGAAGCCTTAAACCCTAAACCCTGAACCTTCAAACCCTAGACCCTGAACCTTCAAGCCCTAAACCCTGAACCTTAAAGCCCTAAACCCTGAACCTTAAAGCCCTAAACCCTGAACCTTAAACCCCTAAAACCTGAACCTTAAAACCCAAAAGCCCTAAACCCTGAACCTTAAAACCCTAAACCCTAAACCTTGAAACCTAATCCCTGAACCTTAAAACCCTAAACCCTGAACCTTAAAGCCCTAAACCCTGAACCTTAAAGCCCTAAAGTAGCCGTCCCGAAGCACGCGGGAGAAGCCCCGCCCCTGAGGCTCGGACAGCTCCGAGACTTCCTGGAGAGGCATCCGGACAAGCTCCCCGGCTCAAGGAATGATGCAAAAAAGCAATTATGAATATAGTTATATTTCAACACATATATATATATATATACATATGTACATATATATATATATATATATATCTGTATATATGATATATGTATTTATGTATTATGTATATGGTTTAGGGTTAAGGGGTTCAGGGTTTAGAAAAAGAGTTCGTTGAAAAGTTACGGATAGAATTACCAATATATAGACAAGAGCATGTGTATGTACATGTGTATATATATATATGCAAAACACATGCACATACGTATATGCATATAAACAAACACATGCATTGCACACATGTTTTCGGGAGGGAAGAGGGGTGGGTTATGGTGGCGGCGGGCGGCTCTCTTTCTGGTGTCGTTCTTTGAGGGACCCTAAATCCTAAACACTAAAGCCCTAAACCCCTAAACCCGAACCACGGGGATAGACTTCGGGTTTGTTGTTCCCCGGCTGAGGTTTCGTTCCTGAGGTTCTAGGGGGGTCTTGGGCACCAGGGTTTAGCGTCTACGGATTTGTGAGGACCCCTGATGAATCACACCCCTTACCTGAAAAGGGATTATGTTGGGGATCCGAATTCGATGGCCCTGACATAGACGGGTTTACTGGCCAGGCGCCTACTTTCACCCGTAATCGCTCATTCCCGAGACCAAGCACCCAAACCCGACTTAACCCGGAACTCGCGCGGCGCTCCCTCATGCATTTTCTGTACCCCGAGATCTTGTTCGACTCGTCGTGGCCTCTTTTACTCCGCTAGCCCGGCAATTCGGAAACCTGAAGCACTGGGCCCTTGGCCCTTGAACCGTAAACTCCTAGAGCCCTAAGCCTCACTTTTGTTACAAGGTGCAGGGGGGCCATGAAATTGATCACAAGAAACAGGGGGCAGGGTAAGGTTTAGGGTTTCGGGTTTAGGTTTTGGGTTTGGTAACTGTTTGGGGCTCCAAACACTTTCAAGCTCCGGGCACGGGCATGGATGCTTTGGTGTCGACCACCAACTTACCCAGAATCCCTGCAGAACCGCTTGGTTCAGGAGTATACTCCACATCACATGGAAGTTTTAAGGATCCCTCTGTGTTTCAAGCTGTGCTGCTGTTCTAAGGGGTTTCGAGGTCTCGTTTGGGATGTGGTGATGAAAGTTCAGAAGCCTCCATTCGGGAGAGGCTAGTGGTAGTGGGCTGTGCAAGCAGTTTGAAGGAAAGACCCAGACCCCAAACCCAAGCATGTCAAGCCCCAGCTAAGCCCTAGTTCCTCATCCTAAACCCTCACTCCTAATCTCTTTGCCCTAAATCCGACTCTATTTACCCTAAATTCCTAAATCCTAGGTCTTATGCCGCCCACATCCTAAATCCTTGACCCGAAATCCTAAACCTTAAACAGGAACCGAAAAAGGTGGCCTCATGGTATGGGGGCTTAGAGTTTGGTACAGTCTCCCCCCCTCCCCCTTACCCCCACCAAGCCATGTAGTATTTGGGAGTTTCTGATCCTTGACTTCAGGTAAACCTCCAGAAGGAACCCTTGCTGTGAAAATCTCTCCGCTTTAGGGTTTAGGGGTCTTGAAACCCTGCCCCAGATAACCAGGTGTCGACAACATAGCAAGCGCAGCAGGTAGGTAATTGCCAGCGCACCTAAACCCCTAAACCAACCCCTAAACCCCTAAACCCCTAAACCGCTAAACCCTAAACCCTAAACCCCTAAACCCTAAACCGTAATTAAACCCCTAAACCCCTAAACCCTAAACCCCTAACCCCTGAACCCTAAACCCCCACCAGGTTCACAGTCATCCCGCAGGGCGGAAGAAGGCGCACCTACCTTTCAGGGTTCTCGAAAAAGCGGGGTTTCAGGGATTTTTCGGTTTGGGGTTTAGGGTTTCGGGCTTCGGAGTAAATCCTAAACCTAAACCTTAAACCCAAAACCC